TTTTTTTTTTTTGGTTAACTGGAATTAATTTTGAAAAAGTTGGTAGGGTTAGTTGTTAGTGGAATTTTGAGGTTATATTAAAATAAGATTTAAAATAAAATAATTAAAGCTGATTTGATGTAAAAGTATGAGAGAAGTGATGTGACGTGATGGTTAGTTAAATTATGTGAGTGGATGAATAGTAAAATTGATGTGATTTGTAAGAATGATATATTGGAATTATTAATTATATTGATAATATTGATAATAGTGGAATTGAGTTAGAGTAGATTTAGATTTTGAGTACTAATTGAGTATGAATTGGATAAATTTATAAACAAGCACGCCCTTAAAGACTCGGGACTCATATGTGCTCTTACATATGAATGATTGACTTGGAAAATTTTTATCTTTACCTCAATATCAGATATTGCTGTTCTCAAGACACAATCCCAGTTCACTAGACGAAGATCCCTAGAAGAGATATGGATGAGAATCTAACATTTAAAATAGTCAATTAAAGAACATAACAAAACAATTAACTTCAGTAAGAGAAAGTGTATTATGATGAGAGGGGTGAAAAAATACCTATAAATGAGACCCTCCTTGTGGAGTCTAACAAAAGCCTCAGTCACAGCTCTCGATCTCTTCTCATCCATGGTAAAGCACTATTTGTTGATAAAATTCCACGGAAAATATAAAAATGATCGTTTCACTTAAAATCTTATTCATGTGAAACAGATGAAGCAGGAAATTGTATCAAAGATGTAGCAAAACAAAAAAATTACCTCACGAGACCAATCTAAAGATGCACCTAAGTGTCGAAGTTGTTTTAGTATGGTGCCCCCATAATCATCCTTCCAATTCCAGACCTATTACAAAATTACCCAAGTAAAATAGACGTATAAATTATAAGTATGGTGCACCTAAGTATTTTTTTCAACTCAAAGCACCAATTACATTGAACTCAAAGCTAGTGCTGCAAAGGAACCGTACGTTCGCGAACGAAAGCTCGTTCGAGTTTGTTTAGGGCTCGTTCGTTTAATAATCGAACCGAGCTCGAACATGTAATTCAGCTCGTTCATCATTCAAACGAACACGAACACGTTCGCGGACATAAACGAGTGTCCGCGAACAACAAGATTTTTAATAATAATTATTATTATTATTATAAAAATAATAATAACAATTAAAGTAAATAAGCATTTTGATAATCGAACAATTCGAGCTAATCGAACGCTCGAAAAGTTCAAATAATTTTGATTAGCTAAACGAGCCGAACATGAACTTAATGAACAACTAAACGAACGAAAATGAACATAAATTTAGGCTCGACTAGTAAACGAACAAACTCGAACAAGCTTGAATATTAGTCGAACTCAAGCTCGAACAGCCCAAGCTCGGTTCAATTTGGTTTGTTTGCAACACTACTCAAAGCACTAAAATAACCATATACAGTACCAAAGAGTAGACTAACTCACTTCAGCCACAAATCTTTCACGACCAAAATCATGCCTCGTCAAATTCATTTCCCTCATAAGTTTCTTTTCCACAACAACCTGAGACAATTACATGAAAAATCAGTTCTCTTTAGGAGCCACCGCATAAGAGTGGCAGGTAATGTAATCACACACAACAAACAACCTCAATATATTCTAATGCACACACCATACATACTTTCTACAAGCAAAAGAAAACGAACTAACCAGCTGATTGGTAAGGCTACAAAAAAAAAAACACACACACACACACACACACACACAAAAAAAAACAACCTGAGTCGCAATTCCAGCGTGGTCCATACCAGGCACCCACAATGTATTGTACCCTGACATCCGTCTCCAGCGAATTATAGTATCCTAGATGAATTTTAAATGAATTTGAAATAAAAATAAAATTAGTAATGAACGGTAAGGCTAAGATAAGTTTGCACGTCATATGTCAATTACTGGACCTGAATTGCAGCAGTAAGGGCATGTCCAATATGAAGGGCCCCAGTGACGTTTGGTGGTGGAAGAACCTGGATTTCCAATAAATGCAAAGGAGTAAGCACAACAATCCACAAAAATATTTGAATAGAATTTTAATCTATAATTAAGAGAATGCCTATGAGCATTAATAATTTCTCTATAACGCATGTAATATTATGAAGTCTTTGTCCGAAAGGTAAATATAGGTGATACAATATTATTTCGCATGAAGATATCTAAATACAGATGTGCTCCTATATTTCCAATTTATTTTCAAAAACTACACTATAATTTCAAATTTATGTATACCATCACTTTGCATCCTAAGTCTTGAAGGGATGCTAGAAAACTCAATCAAAGAGGAAAGAGCCAACTTAGGAGTAGCCTCCTACTAAAAAGAAAACAGACCAAATGCACACACAACAGACCAAATTGGGATTACATATATTGATAGACAAACAGAAGGCGGGAAAGGGCAATTTACCTTTCTAATTTTATTGTTTCCTTTTCTCAAAAAATTATAGCTAATTCAGTTAGTTATCATTTGTTAATATATTCTCCCCTCAATAGCTAACCTAAGAAACTCACAATTACAAATGATGGTTTGGTGCTTTTTGGGTCTGCCTCAAAGAAATTAGACTTCTCCCACCATTCATACCACCTGGATCAGAAACTTGAAGCATCAGGATTAAATGGAAGCAAATACATAGTATAACAGAAAGTAGATAATAAAGATTTGATCATACGAGTTCTCAACAGCACTGGGATCGTAAGTCTTTGCCATTTGACGAGAGAGCTTTTTCTTCTCACCCAAAGGTGTTTCAGGATCAACATAATCCTGCGGGTTATCCTCCTCGATTTCTCTTCTCGCATTCTTTTTCTTCTCCGACTTTGAAGTAGTGGGGTGTTGCGCCTGAATTTTTTCCAGTAATTCTGATGAGCAAATCATTATTAACATTAATACGATAATGCAATTTCCCTCGTTTAAGTCCCTAATAAATACCTGGAGTTTCGCGGCTGCTGCTTTTTGTGCTGCCTTAAGCTTTTTCAATTCCTTTTCTCTAGCCTAAATCAAAAGCCCATTAACAAGGAGTCACAACTCTATGAAACTAAATGCTTCAATCAACCAAAAACTTGAATGAGTTTAAACGTGACAAAAGATGAAAAGAGTCGGGAATTTTTAGTTGAGCCGCCCACTGACACCAGAGGAAGCTAAACACAATAATAATAGAAGTATAACACGTGCAGATAATATGTGGATAAGATTAGCACATTAAGAATGCCATGCGTTCAGCATTTCTTCAACGAAATCACAAAATATCAACGGCATTGCCTGTCAGCAAATTCACTGAACGTGAGAGATAATCAGAGCTCTAATTAAAATTACAATTCAAATACAAGCAAATGATTCTCTAGTTTCAAAATTCATCCCAACTCACTGCTTCCAGCTTGAAGCTTACACATTTGTGATTAAGATTACAAATATGAACAAGCATTATCTTTTTCAAAAAAAGCAATGATGCCCACACCTTTTCTTCCTTCTTCTTCTTCTTCTCAAGTTCTTCCGGCGTCAACTCTCGTGAATCCATTGGTTGTCCCACTAGCAACGGGAAAAACAACAAAGAACCATTCAATGGGTAAACAAAACACTCGCATCACTAAATTTCACTTGACAATTGTCAATGACATTCCCAGACAAAATAACCGATATCTACCCACGAAAACCACAAATGGCGGGAAGTTTGATATAGCTCACCTAAGAAACACTGCACTCCAGAAAAAATAACCCATCAGCTTTCGATAAGCTACGATTTTGGGGAAGCAAAATGCCGCCGGTATCCATTTATGCACACAGTTTACATAACCTAGCAAGATTGTGATTTCATTTCTACCTAACAAGACTGTAACTTTGTAATCCACTAAAGACTCTAGCCCGGCCCTCGAAGCTCTTTCCAACAGACAACCAGAAAGTATTAATCTTTGGTTCAGACAAGCTGAACATCACAACTAAAGCAAAGAGATTAACTCCAGCAAATCTTTACTGAAACCCTTTTGAGTTCCAGCTATTTTGTAAGCTCCCCACACCCCAGTTACATGATAAATGCAAAAAAAAAAAAAAAAAAAAAAAAAAAAAAAAAAAAAAAAAAAAAAAAAAAAAAAAAAAAAAAATCATTTGCAGAACAGAGAACAAGAACAAGTACCAGGTGCCTTCAATGGAGAGCTGATGGCTGAGGTGGACGGCGAATCAAGAGCCGAGGCCGCGTGAGGACTGAGGGCAGAGGAGGCCGTCGAGATGCGGCGGCGCCGACTAGATATTTGAGAGAAATTAAGCTTAGGTCGTCCAAAATGGAGATGAGCAAAACCATCAGATCGTGCCAGGGCTTTTGACAATTTTATCATTTTGGCTCAATTTTCTTTTATTTTTGTACACAATATGTCTTTAGGTATAAATGTTTTGTTAATAGAATAACAATATTAATATTTAATATCAATATTGATAATACCTACAAAGAAGTTAAAAAATCATTTTTTTTTTTAACTTCAAACTGCTTGGTTTTATAAACAAATTTTTTTATGATAAAATAAAAAAATAATATATTAATAATAGCTCGTGTATTTAGTAGGGGTGAGCAAAATTACAGTTGAAGCCGAAAATTTGGATCGAACCATGCAATTCGGTCATTTATTTAGTTTTGAAAAATCTTAATTTTCGTTCATTTTTCCTATGTTGCGACGCAATTTAGTGATTATTTTTCATATGTTTGGTTTCAATTTTTTGATTTAGTGTGATTTGCATGGTGATTATTTTTCATATGTTTGGTTTCGATTTTTTTATTTAGTGTGATGTGCATCATATTGGATAGAAAAACATGTATTTCGATGCGATTAGAATATTTTAGCGTGTAATTTTTTTCAATTCAAATTCAATTTTATTTTTTATATATTGTGGTGTGACATTTTATTTTTCTTTTTGAACATCATCATTTTGAAACACCACCCCAAGATTGATTAGGTGTGATTAGGGTTGGGCATCAAACTCCGATAATTCGTATTATTTTGATAATTGAATTAAAATCAATACAAACCAAAAATAAAAAATAATTATTGATCGTTGAACAAAAAAAATAGTATGGGCATATTTGTAATTTGTATTAATGGTCGAACAAAACTATCCCATATTGTACCGAATCAAACTGAACTCAATAACTGAATTACGACATTGGATGTGTCTTGTCCATAGATTTTATGTCAACTTTCATCCTATATTATGTGTATATTTTAAATATTAAAATTTAAATATTGTACGGAAGAATCAAATCATGAATTTTAAATACTTAATAACATACATTAATGACAATTAAAATTCACTCAAGTTTTATACTTACTAATATTTAAAATGCAGTTAATTATTTTAAAAAATGTTACGATACATTTCTTATTTTTGTCCATCTTATAATTAAAATCATATGAAAAGTTGAAGATTTTTTCTTAACGATATTTAGTTTGAATTTAAATTTTAGATAATTAGATGCACAACTATAGTCTTACTAATTTTTTAGATACTTCTATATTTTCTAAAGTTTATTTTTAAATAAAATATTTAGTATGATTAAATATTGGTAAATGTTTGATTAAAAAAAACATATCAAGAGTTTGATATAACTATATAGTCCTCCAGGAAAAAATATAATTAGAAATTTCAGAGTCTTGGCCGAACTGAACATTTCAATAGTCTCGAATACCAAATCGAATAAACAATAGAATCTCCAAATTGAACATCCCATTTTTTTGTACAATTCTAAAAATTGAATTTCAGTGATATTTGAAATTTGACATGGTATTGGAGATTTATCTTCAGTCGTACCATCACATGTCCACCCCTATATGTTAATTTAGACACTCCATTACGATTCTCATAATGTTTCGAGGTTGTTCTCGCCAAATTCGTTTAGTCCATCACGTTTGCAAATTATATATAGATGATATTAATTTCCTAACAATTCTTCTTCATACTTTCTTCAGCGGTTTTGCTATGGAGTCATCCGATTGTTCGACTTATTCACAAATTGTGTATTGACACGTGTCCTGCAGTAAATACACATTAGACACATGTCAGTCCATAATGTTATGAATGACTCCATAAGTGAGTCATCCGATGGCTCCACAGAATTTATGTTTTCTTCAAAAACTTTATATTTCTAAAGTCCCCCACACGATATTGTATAACATATTCCATCATAATCTTCTCGATTCAAACGTTATTTGTGTTATAAAGTTGGAGCAAGACAAGATTGAGTTTCAAATTATGTACGCATCAATTTCTTGACAAGATATCCGAGCCTCCTTTATATAGACATTGGCCGACAGACCGGTTGGTCAGCCGACCTGTTGGGTCAGACTCGTTGACAACAAACTTCATACTCGTGTTTTATCCGGACAAGTTTCCATCTTTGTTAAAAAAGTTTGACTCATTGCTTCATATGAACTCACTCGCGTTAATTCAAAATTTATACAATCTTAATAAAAATGTCGGGCCAAGCCCATCGATTTTCGGAACGTCAACCATTTTTCTCCTGATTACGATTCAATAATAATAGACCCGCCGACTCATCCAATCAAGCCCATAATGATCGGGCCCGGCCCATTGGACCATGTCTACCTCTACATGATTTTGTACAAATCGGGTTAGGTAACCTTTCACATACTAATCTATTTCTCCAACCAAAGAACATAAATTTTACGGATTTAGAAATAAATTGATTGATACCAACTTTATAAAGCCTAACTAAAAGGACTATTGGAGTATCACTTGTGAGTTGTCCCACATTGAATCTATAGGGAAAATGAGTCTAGTATATAAGCCTAGTGGACTACTCCTCTCATCACCAATTGGTTTTGGGATGGAACCCCACTAAGGTGCATCTAGGCTCACCCTCTTATGGTGCGCTTAATCTGGTGGGACCGCACTCTCTCTTGTCCCAATTCTCTAATCTTACATGGTATCAGAGCCTGGCCGACTCCTGTCTGGGTTTCTATCTCTACTAAGGTGCATCTAGGCTCACCCTCTTATGGTGCGCCTGGGTTTCTATCTCTACTAAGGTGCATCTAGGCTCACCCTCTTATGGTGCGCTTAATCTGGTGGGACCGCACTCTCTCTTGCCCCAATTCTCTAATCTTACAAGGACCCTTATTTGCATTTTTGTTTTAACTTTTAATCACACAATAAACAATACATGGTGTGAATGTACTTGATAAATTCTGCAAGCACTGTTAAAATTGCATATTAAATAAGGGGAAATTCTATTATAGGGCCTCATTTTTAGGTATTGTGTCATTATAGGGCCTCAATTTTTAACTTTTTTATTTGAGGACTTGAATTTTAAGTTATTCTCCATAAAAGGCTTAGGGCTTGATTGTTTATGAAATAATTTGTTCAAATTGAGTTATTTTGGTTAACTATAGTTAATTTTGAAAAAGGTGGTATGATTAGTTGTAGTGGAATTTTAAGAATGTATTAAAATAATATTTAAAATAAAATAATTAAAATTGATTTGATGTAAAAGTAAGAGATAAATGATTGGAAATGATATGTAGTTAAAATTATGTGAGTGGATGGATAGAAAATTAAAGTTGATGTGATGTGTAAGAATGATTGGTTTGTATTATTTAATTATATGAATAATATTAAAAATAGTGGGGTTGAGTTAAAGTTGAGTTAGATTTTGAGTTGAAATAAAAGTGAGTAAATTATTTTGTAAACAATCACCCCCTTACTTTTACATTCTAATTCTCAATTTAAGACTCCAACTAATTTTATATTTTTACATAAATATATAATCCAAATACTATTATTTTAATATTTATATTTTAAATAATTATAAATGTCTTTAATACTTTAGTATATTTTTCTAAATAGTTTATTATTTAATTTTATCACATATTTAGATTAAATTAAGTTAAAAATTTATTTTTTAACTTTTAAAATAACTTTCATTAAGCTTTTGTATAAATGTAAATTATGAAATAGTTATATTTTTAGGTAATTTCACTAAGATATTTAATATTTATTTATTATATATACTTAAAAAATAGATTTTAAAAAAAGTATTATGTTTTACATAATTTTGTTAAAATAAAAAGAAATTTAGAGACTTAAATTGAAAAGTAGAATGTAAAAGTAGGCCTTATATTGAGAATAATTTAAAAATGAAACCCTCAAGTGAAAAGGTTAAAAATATAGGCCCTATTATGACACAATACTTAAAAATGAGGCCCTATATTAAAATTTCCCCAAAATAACATTAAATAATCTTATTATTATTTGTATTTTTTGTTTGGGCCACTTAGCGTATATCGAGAAATTTATATATTTAAAAAACAATACAACTGGACAAAAAAAAAAAAAAAAAAAAAAAAAAAAAAAAAAAAAAAAAAAAAACACAAAAAAAAGATGTGGAAAAAAAAATCAAAAACACGTATTATGAAAATACGTTTTACATACATATTTCATTATAAAACGTATTCTCATAATACGTTTTACAATATTTTTTACAATTCAAAACATATTATGAGAATACGTTTTACAATGAAAAACGTATTCTGATAATACGTTTTTTTGTTTTTTTTTTCCACCCGAAATTGTTTGTGTATTTTTTGTTCCAACACTTTATTTATTTATTTATTTTTTTTTAATTTTGAGGTAAAAAAATCCTAGCCTATATATCAATATTGAAATTTAAATTAAACTATTGTATTGGAAAGTAAAAGATCCCACACATATTTTGATATTGGAAATTAAATCACCAGTTTCTCTTATTTATTATTTAATATTTCGTTTATTTTTGTTTTTTGTTTTTTTTTTTTGGTTTTTTTCCGTTCCTAGTAACGAAAGTATAGTTACTAGGACAATACCCACGTATGGCTTAGGGTTTGAATGTTTATAAAATAATTTGTTCAAAATGAGTTATTTTGGTTAATCATAGTTAATTTTAAAAAATGTGGTATGGTTAGTAGTTAGTGGAATTTCAATAATGTATTAAAATAATATTTAAAATAAAATGATTAAAATTGATTTGATGTAAAAGTAGAAGATAAATGATTGGAAATGATAGGTGGTTAAAATTATGTGAGTTGATGAATAGTGAATTAAAATTGATGTGATGTGTAAGAATAATTGATTTGTATTATTTAATTATATGAATAATATTAAAATAATGGAGTTGAGTTAAAGTTATTTTGAGTATGAAATAAAAGTGAGTAAAATAATTCATAAACAATCAAACCCTTATATAAACATTACATAATTGTCAGAATTTTACTACATAACTAGTACCTACCCCGTGCAATGCACGGGACATAAATATTAAATAAATTATTTTCCGACGACTTTGTTCGTTTAAGTCTAAAAATCAATAGGGTTATCATATATTTTCCACTTGTATATTAGGGCTAGCTTGTAAATTAATTAATATATTATCTATACATATTTAATTTTTTTTATTAGTTATACATATTTATTTCTTAATTTGAAATAAAAAAAAAATGTTTGACCAGTTGAATATTAAATCAGCACTAATTAATTTATTAAGCAAGTAAAGACGCAAATCAAGACAATTTAATTATCCAACAATTTAGGGTAAAACAACCTTAGCCCCAAATTATAAATGCATCAAATATATAATCTTGATTAAATGCATCAAATATATAATCTTGATTAAATTTCAAGATTCAGAAGCATCCAACTTGAATGAAATTCGGTTCATAAAATAATAAACATATTATATAATATAAATAGAATAATAATAATAATAATATAATAATAATAATATTAATAATATAATAATAATAATAATAATAATAATAATAATAATAATAATAATAAGGTTAAAAAAATACACAAGAATCGAAACTCTCTCTCTCTCTCTCTCTCTCTCTCTCTCTCTCTTTCTTTTTGCCTCCCCAAAGCCTACCATTTTTATTCATCTCCAAAAAATCTTCCCAACATATTTAAATCACCTTTACCTTTTCACCTTTATTTTCCCAATTCTAATTTATTTCCATCTCCGATTTTCTTTGCAGATGCTATAAAGTAATTATGGACTATAAAGAATAAACATATGGGACTCCTCCATTACAAACCGACCTCTAAAAATTCCAGCCTTTTCAGTTCATCCCTTCATATATTCTGCAATCTCTGTCGTTCTGCTGCCATTCATCGTATTTTTCCGTGATTATTGTGATCCTGTGGTTTGTTTAGCTACGTACGACAGTCAGACGTTGATGGGCTCATCCGATTGATTGTTCCTCTGTACCGTCGGATCGTCAATCTGCTAAGGTTCGTGTTGTTTCCCATGATTTTTCCCTTTTCATCACATGGGTTGTTCGGTTTTGTTCGATTTTTGGTTGGTTGATTATTTGCTGGGTTGCTTTGGGATTAATCTTTTTTTTTTTTTCTGTGAGATTGAGTTTTATGCTGCTCGTGTTCTCTCTCCCTCTCTCTCTCTCTCTCTCTCTCTCTCTCTCTCTCTCTCTCTCTCTCTCCCTCCCTCTCTCTCTCTCTCTGTATCTGTTTGTTGAAGTTTTCTGATTTTTCTCGATGTATGTTTTGGTGGGTTTTGATTGTAAGATTTGTTTTTGACCGCGTTAGCAATGTAGTAACTAGTTTATGTGTTGCTAAGTACTGAATCTTTTTCACCCCTTTTAGTAGATACATAGAAGGATTGCTGAATATGGTAATTTGGTGTTTCTGGGTTCCCTCTATGTAAGTAACTTGATCAAGTAGCTGTCTTTGTTATGCTTTTTAAGAAATTGAATAGCCTTTTGTTATGCCATTCTAGTGATTGTGAGTAATCTTGTTCGGTAGTCACTCAATCGTATCGTTTGGTAATTGAATTTTATTATTCTTGTAATCATGCCACGAAGAAATTCAAACCTCGAGCTCGAGGACGTAGTTATGCGATAAAAAGAACTACCACATTCATAGTTAGGTTAGCGCGGTAAGCCTGATAGTTGAGATCAAGTCTCGAGTCCTGTCATGATCGCTATAAGAGTAGGGTGCTAGCATCAAAACTAGAGATTTATAACAGGTAGCAACGTCTTCGAAATTTTCTTCATGGTATAACTTGAAATTGAGTTTTTCTTTTTAGAGATCCCAATCAACACAGAATAGGTTTTTCGCTATGTTTCACGTGTATTGTTAGTATCATTATTTTCGATCACATTATTAGCAAAAAGATCGCTTTTCTATGACTGTGATCAGTGTCTCTCAAGTCTCAACTTTAGACGTGGTCGAGCTCTCATCATTTTTCTAACGCATTTCCAAATTTGTGCTGCTCTTTGATATTTATGGAGAGAGAGTAAACCGATGCCGAGCATGCAGTTTTGAGTTGGAATACATTCATTTGTCTTGAGCTTTAACTTTGGATCTTCTTTTAATTGTAGTGGTGATGCCTCATTATGGGCATATTTGATCTCTTTTCTATTTTTATCCGTTAATAGAGTTTGCTGGTACTAGTTAGATATTTTTCCTGAGATATTATGTGATCATGTGCAGGATTTGGCTTTTGCTGAAGATATTATTTCTATACAAATCAGTCCGCTATGTGGCGTAGAAACGCACCTAATGCGCTTCAGATTTCTGAGACCGATGGTGGAGAGGAATGGAATCACCCAGACCAAACTTACATGCCAACGAGTATAATATAATATTCCCGTTACTTCATTTGCATCCGTTTTCATTATTTCATCATCTATTTTTTTTATTTTATTTTTCCTCCACTC